AAACTTCTTTGTTACTTCTTAATCAGATTAAACAATTTGGCTCATTTTTAAGTTAGTTGTTCTATAGTCAATTATCACAATACGTTTGTTGATTGTTGATGAGTTTTTTTCTTTGAATTTGATAATTTCTTATGTTAATTGAAATCAATTGTTAATTGCAGACTTACATTAATGGAGAAGTACTACCGAAAATATCAAATTCACAGGAACCTTCAACTCTTTCGTCGTCTAAAAAGAAAAGTAAACTCGATAATCAAAATTCAAAGAGCACCGAACTTGCCGAACTTTTGAAAAATCTCCCTTCAGATCCGGCACGCCGAAAGCATATTTTAGATTACGATCCAAATATCCGCGATAAAAAATAAAGCATTTTTTTTGTTTCATGTTGCCTTGGCTGATAAAAAATCCTGTGTCCGCCACTGCGGAGAAGACTCATTTTCTCTAATAGTTCAGGCCAACTCCTTTAATATACGATGAGGTAAGTAGGGAGCATATGAACCCTATGCGGGAAGTTTTATTGTCGGTGAATGTGGAGTGGGCATTCTTGAGCTTGAATGTTGAGATGTAGTAAATTCTAATAGGTAAAATATAAAATGTATGTAATTTTCAGAGATAATAGATATGCTTAAGTATGTTAAAAATTATGTTGTTTTGTAATAAGTAAATTTAGTTGAATGAATTATCTCTAGTTTTTAATTGGTTTGGTACAATATATTTTGGTTTGATTGGGAGCAATATTTTTGAAAAGTCCAAGAACCCCTTAATCGGTTTAGATGTGGCTAACTTCACAATTGTTTAGACCACCTATACGTCTAATTGCCCGAGCGCCTAGTAAAGCCACCTAGACGAAAATTGAGGCGCCCGAGTACTACTTAAGAGCATCTCCAATCGCACCTTTTTACAATTAACAATTAGATGCCATGTCATTTGGATAGACAGCGACTGTATTTTATTTACTGGGCTATTTTGTGGAAAATGTTACGATGACATGGTGATAACATCGTTCACCCACTGTTTTCTTTTAGAAAGTCAGTTCGACAACACAATATCAAATATCTGGAAAAAAAAACTACAAAATGGGTTATTTAATTTTAATAATTTGTAGGTGGAAACCATTTTTGTTAAATTTTAAATAATTAATCGACAACTACAGTTTTAATATTTTTTTTAGTAATTACACTTTTCATAATTTTAAAAACTAAACTACATTTATATTTATTTTATTTCGGGGAGATAAAAGCCATTTTATTTTCTAATTAGAAACAACGATTAATGCTTGTAATAAAATTTTAATATTTTTTTTCTCAAAATTAGGTGTTACACACTTTTCTCAATTTTATTATTTATTTGGTTTTATTATAAAAAAATATTTTTTTATTAATTACACGTTGAACATTTAAAAACTACACTACTTTATTATTTATTTCGTTTCGTGGAGATAAAAGCAAACTTTCTTAATTGAAACAATTAATGGTATGTTCTGTAATTAAAATTTAATTTTTTTTCTCAAAATTAGGTGTTACACATTATCTCACTTTTATTATTTATTTGGTTATATTATAAAAAAAAATTAATATGTTTTTACACTTTCAACATTAATAAAACTAAACAACTATATTATTTATTTAATTTCATGGAGATAAAAGCAATTTTTGTTATAAAAAAAAAAATCGAAACAGGTTATCATAATTAAAATTTCAATATTTATTTTCCCAAAATTAGGTGTTACACATATTTTTTCAATTTTTTAATTTTAATATTTTTTTTTCGCAAACTTAGGTGTTATACTCATTTTCTCAATTTTGTATATTTTAAAATAAACATAATCATGAAGGAAATTATGCATTGGAGATGGTAATCGAAAATTATTATTTCATCGTTTGGCAGTGCTTTCTTATGAATTAATCGTCCAATTGTTTTACCGCCATGCGACAAAAATTTTAATGTTGACCAGTTAAGCCTTTGGAGATGGCAGTACCACCACTGTGTGTCCTGGCACACCTTGCTAGGTGTGCCAGGGCAATTATGTACGCGCGGATTCACCCCCAAAAACCAGAAAAATGAGAAATTGTAGTACACATGCCACCTTTTTTTTTTTTAATTGAAAATGAGACATATTAGATAAATTAAAATACCATTAATGATTTATATTAAAATAAAAATATCAAAATTCACAATTTTTCATTCTCTATAAATAGATACCATATTTGATAAGTATTTTAACATAATTAATTTTTTTTGGTAATCAATTTAGTATACTGACATACGATGAACATGTTACATAAAAAGATGAACATGTACGGATTGGAGAATGAAATAATACATGTTCATCTTATTTTATAACATGTTCATCTAATTTTGTAACATATTCATTTTATTTTATAACATGTTCATCTTATTGTGTGAATATGTAACATGTTAATCTTATTCTATAACATTTTCATCTTACTATGTAACATGTTCATCTTATTATGGATTTGCGTCTTCATCTTCCAATAAGATAATTAATCGAATGTGATAAATTAATTGTGTTCTAAAACTTATCAAATGTGGTCTCTATTTGTAGAGGATGAAAAATTATGAATTTTGGTATTTATATTTATATTTTTTAATATAAAATATGAATAGTAATTTAATTTAGATAATATGATATATAAAACTCATTATCCAATAGAAATGAGACACATGTCCCATTTAAAATAAAAGCCCTTATCTCACGCGCTTTTTTTAGGAATTGTATTACACAAAGGCCTTGGCAGACCTAATTTTTTGCATGGAGATTGTTCCTAGCCCGATTTTTAAAACACTAGAGGTAATTAGTAATAATTAAGGGGGTGATTGTTTATAGATTGGACTAGTTTTATTTCGTTTATTTTTTAACTATAGTTAATTTTGAAAAAAATGTGGTATGGTTAATTGTTAGTGAATATATTAAAATAATATTTGAATAAAATAATTAAAGTTGATTTGATGTAAAGTAGGAGAAAAATGATTGGAAGTGATAGTTAGTTAGAATTATGTGAGTTGATGAATAGTGAATTAAAGTTGGTGTGATGTGTAAGAATGATTGGTTGATATTATTTAATTATATTGATAATATATATATATATTTGTAGGTTATTCATTTATTACAAAAGTAAAATTTTCCCGCCTAAATTTTTTAGCTTTTTTTAGTAAGTTTTAATTTTCTTTTGTTTTAGTTTATGGTTATATCATTAAATTTGTAATAAATACTATAATATTCATAAAATTGTAACAGTTATGTTTTAGAAATAAACTTAGGCATGTGATTTGTTATTTTGATAAATAATAAGTAATATTATATTTTGGTATAATCGTAATATGACTATTATGTATCTTTTCTTTTGGTTGAAAAATAATTTTAATTTTTGGACTTCATATTATTCATACTTAATTTTAATCATCTTGGATAGTACTATCGAGTTTCAAGATAACTATTCAAAAGAATATATAGATTTCAAATTTGTCTTATTAAATAAATTATAAAAACAAGTCGCAATCCTATTAATTATTTTGCATTTTCCTATTTGTAGGGATTCCTTTATTATTTTGATGTGATTCTATATCTTAAAAAAAATCTATTTAAATTTTCAGCTTAGCAATGTAGA